TTCCGAGACTTAGTGATCGGGACTGGAGGGACCTGCCTGGCAGGACATAAGCTCGCAAGACCACGCAACTGCTGGTGACCATAACAGCCACACGCTTTACAAAACCAAAGGTCGAGAACATTATTATATAACATAATATGAGACCTGTGGACCACACCCCCAGCGAGATATAAATCACGACCCAGAGGCAATTTAGAAAGCGAACTCGAAACGTGCAGCAGCTCAAAGCATTCGGTGGCTAACCACGTCGCTCTCCCAGCTTCAGTGGCAGAGCCTCGGCACCTCGAACACTTTTTCCCGCACTCACGGACGATATGCTGGGACCGAAACAGGGCAACAGCCACAGGAGGCGGGGGGGGATCAACAGCAGCAGCAGCAGGGCGCCGTTGTTTTTTCCCCTCAACTCTGATAGCCTCAAGAGTGGTTCTGAGCAGCCGTTCCCTGATCAAATGGGCATCGGCCTCAACCTGGGGCAAACGAGAGCGTTGAGCGCCCGAGACCCCGAAAATCTTGGCCGCTTCACCAGCTAAATGGTCCACAAAGCAATTCCCTGCAACGAGAGGCCCCGACAGGTTACGCTCAACAACTTTCTGCGCCTCTAAGTGAGACGGGATCTGTAAAACAGAAAGGTCACCAGGATGACGCTCCGTCGACTGAATGACCTCCCCTAGGCGTCGCCACAAATCGGCATTCGGCCCCGTCGGGCCCGTAAAAAGCTTGGTCCAGAAACCCCGACACACTTCCTCGTTGTCGGTCACAAAAGCCATCGGTCCCCTGGACTGGGCCACGGCTGTGGTAAAACAAAACAACTCGCCCCTGGGGACGGACTGGTGCCGACCAGGCAGCGGGCCATATACAAACCGAATTTCAGATGGACTAGACTGCTCAGGATTAGTGGACACAGCCATCCCTACCCTGCGCAGCCTCGGGTCGTGGGTGTCCCGTCCCCCAGACGCGTCCCCGAAAAGGAGGAGAGGCTGGAGGGAAGAACCTACCCCAAAATACGGAACAACTTCAACGTCATCAGGGTGGCTGCGGACCCAACACTCATCATTGGAGGGGGGGTCGAGCTCAACCATATCTTTGGGAATCAGGCCCCTAAGCCAAAAACACTCACAGTTGTTAGCTTGGGCCAAGGCTTGGGGCACTAACCGATCGGAAGCAGCAAAAACAGGCGAATCGCGGTTACATTCGCACTCCCACACCCGATGGAGCGGGGTGTCTAAAGCCTTGCCACATCTCCTACACAACTCAGGGGCCTGTATACCTAATCCTTGTTTTCTATCATCAGTCCAGGTTCCGCCGACGGCGATCGTCATCATCAATTCGCTGAGCTGTCGTCCGTGCCCTGGGAGACGCTCCAATTGCAGAAGGTACCGACGGAGACTGAAATTGTCGACGCCATTCTCCATGCCACTCCCACATTGCGATTTAGCTGCAGCGTCTCTCCACAAACGATCCTGCAACGATTGAGCAAACCTATATATGAGGTCTCGTGCTTGGTCGAAAGCCTGAAACTCAGCCGATGCGAAACTCCATACATCTTCATCTTCCCCCCCTCGGCTCGGCGGAAACCACAACGCCTCTTGCGGTAGGTCCCACCCCGCATTCGTCAGGTAGGCGATCACCGCTGTAAGAGGTCCCCGTACATGTCGCCACCGATGCTGGGGCTCCAGGCCCCTAAACTGCTGAACTGCGTCGCGCCATACCCGAGCTATGGGAGCTCGGATCCTGGGGAACTCCAGCCAGCACTGCATCCATTGCCCCAAGCACTGCCGAGGGAGGGCGTACCCTGGGTCAGCTCCTGGCGCCCTGAGGTCCAGCAAGGTGGTTAAGCATCGTCCACGACGGTGCCCAGACACAGCCCCCAGCCTACGCCGAAGATCAAGCAAGACCGTATCAGGAAGCCCAAGAACTTGATGCCCGTAGCGAGCCCCTGCTTGAGGCCTTGCAAGCTCGATCTTTTTCAACACTCGAAATCGTCTCGAAGCACTCGCATACTTACGAAGGCGCCCATGCTGCTTCTTGGTGGTGATCATGCGCTGGTTCCGAGTAGCCCTGACGAGCCGTTTCACACAACTCATGTCGACACCAAGATATGTCAGTCGCGAAGCGCACTGAACTGCCACTCCTCGACGCTTCAACTCTCGCACGATGGCCTTCGCATCCTGCATCGATGAGCAAGTGATTGCACTCTTCGGGGCAAGCTTCAGGCCTTCGCCCTCGAGCATGCCGCTAACTGCGGTGACCCCCTCGATGAGCTGGTCACGCACGAACTTGCTGGAGCCGACAGCCGTCTGGGACAAATCGTCGATCCACAAGCGTTCTGATAGAGCTGGGCGCGCCACCGTCAACCGCTCCATCACCAGGCCCGTGACACACCGAGCGAAACGCGTGCCCGATCGGAGCCCCTGAATGATGCTCCTCGTAGCCTGGAACGGGAGCGACACCGCATCGCCCTGATCGAGCATCCTCGGCGCCATGCATACCTGCAACTCTAGCCCCAGCATGACTGCTGGGAATCCGTATCGAACCGCACCCTTGACAAGGGTGCTCCACTCCATCCTGTCATAGAAACTCTGGATGTCAGCAAGCGCATGACCGTTCGCCAACTTTAATCTCGTGAATAACTCGTCGTCCAACGCCCTCATGAAAACTTCCTTGCGGGAAGAATTCCCTCGCACTGCAGCATCCCACGACGGTTGCTCGGTCTGAGCCCACGCCTGAATTACAGGCTCACGCGCCAGCGACCAAACCCTGCACAGAACACAAATCAGGCCGATGACGCGGAACTGGCCCTCGGCCTTCTTGGGTAATAAACGGCCCAACACACCCATCAATTGCCAGGGCCAGGTCTGGCACTCCTCAAACATGTTGAAAAGCTCCGCTAGCTCTGCCACCGCTTCGTCAGGTAAACGCTCTAAATCGAGCGGGGACAGGCGATCAATGCCTTGCCCTGCTCGCGCCTTCATAGATCGAAACGCTCTACGAAGATCGCCCACGTCAAGCGGGTCAAGGGGTGCTAACCGAGCTCGATTGCGGACAACGTCGAAAAGTGTCAAGACCTCCTCGCGACTCTTAACCTCCTGAGAAGTCCATAGCTGGCGCCAGTGAGCCGCTCGGTGGTACACCAAGTGATAAGGGTGATAGAGCATGCCGCTGGGAACCTCAATCTGGCCAGCCGACTGCGGAGCCTCCCTGGACGCTCGAAAGATGGTTCCCGTGGTAGAATTATCCGTAATCCATGCCTTGAAATCAGCCATGGAGGCAGAGATGGCACGGTTGCGCGCCTTGCCTGCGATGGCCGCTGCCTCCTTGTTGAAGTTCTCCATCTGCTGGCACGGCACGCTAGATAAGTCCTGCAACAAGTGCTGCCAGACCGCCCAGGATGTGGCCGAAGGGCCTGCACCAACCAACTTCTGAACTCCATCAGGGGCCTGAAAACTCCATTTCTGCCCAGCGAGCGCAAGGTCGCGAAGCTGAGCGGCTCCGTTCCCTCGACGTCCATGCCGAGCCATTTTGCACAAGATAACGTTCACCCGCCCCCACCAGTTGGCAATCACATCCCTGAAAGGCATGTCACGATGATGCTGGGAGTGGCGCACTCGTTCAATCCTCATGAGCGGGCCCTCCGACCGCGAAGGTGAGCCTCCTCCATCCGTGCCCGCATGCTCGTGATGCGCTGCCTCGACCGTGGCAATCCAAGCAGAGAAGGCCCCGCTCACGCTGAGCACATGCGGCTGCCCGACTGCATATGAAAGCGAGTCACGGATGGGTGCACAGACTCGGTCAGGAGTGCGAACATGAAAGCCCATTCGCGCTCGAGCCAAACGCCAGCGGTCGGGTGAGAGCGCAAAGGCAACAGCAGCGAAGGAGGGCGGACAGGTGGGAGTACCACCGTGGGAGCTGGACTGACCTGCTGCCTCCTGAGACGGGTCGACCTCGACTGGGGGGGCCCCAACATGGTCATTCGCGACTTCGCTCGTGGAATGAACTAGGTCAGACGAATTCACTGGAGCACCCCACTGCGCAGCCTCGGCTTCACCTGACGCTGGGGCAGCAACACTAGCCACCCTGGGGGCTCCACTGGGGGGGAGGGGAGGCGAGGACGAGGACGAAGAGGGGGGACAGAGGGGTTCAACAAAATTGGGCTCCGCGGCCCAGGGACCCACCTCATCGTCCCAGAAACCAACATGGAACCCCTCCCAAGATTCGGGGTCGGCAAGAGGCTCGACATTGGGCGGCTCACCTAAGTCCTCTGACGCCTGGGCTGGTTGTGTCGACGGAAGGGCGGATGCAACCTGAGAGTCTACGAGCAAATCCCCAAACAACTGAGACGAACGCTCCAATTGTTTTTCCCGTGCAAGACTCTGGCGCAACGCATTGGCCCGCCGCGCCTGGGAAGACTTCGAACCTGGGGTCTCCTGCTGTTGCGGGCGAGAGACCTGGGCAAGCCGTTGGGGCAAGATGAGCGAACGCGTAATTAATTGCTCACCCGCCCCTCGCAACTGCAAAACTAACCCACAATGCGGCTTCCACGGGACGTCCTGGATGGCCTGGAGCCCCAAAACGCAAGGCGCCGCAGCATGAGAAACTAACGCAAAATCTATGTGAGACGCTCCACCGGCCCCCACGCACGTGTGCTCGACAGGGGCCTGCAGCGCCGAAGCCCCGATTTTAGACAGGAAACTCGAACGCTGGAGCTCCGACGGGGGCATATTAAAATCGCCCAGAACAACCCAAGGGAGCTGAAGGGCTTGTAAAAGCGTGCCGAGCCTAGCGAGTCTAGCTAAGCTTTCAGCTCGCAGGCCAAGACTGCACCTACCGTAGAAGACCACGATCACGATGCTGTATCCCTGCTGGTGGACAACAACTGGCAAGAACCCGTCCAACTGCTTCTCTCCTTCCACATACAGCTCGGTAAAACGACCGCTGCAGAGTCCGTGAACCTGTCTGTGGCCCTGCGAGATGAACAGTTCTCCTCCCTCTGTCGCTCTGAGCTTGCCTGACTCCGTACGGCAACGAGTCCCCGTAGCCCGAGCAGCATTAGAAAGAAGCCTAAGTTTGTTTTGTCGAGCTAGCTTGGCCCACTTGTTGTTCGCAGTCACCCCCACATGCGTCTCGCACAGCGCCAAATGCTGAAAGGCCTGACTCTGAGCAAGGTGCATCACGTAGCCCCAAGACTTGCGACCCAACATCGTGACATTCGAGAAAAAAGATCTGAACCACTTCGCAGCCCCCCGACGACGAAGCAGAATCCGATGGACTGCCACAGCGGCCCTCCGCCACGCCGCTGGCACCAAGCTGAGGCTGCTCAGCCCCTGGTGTAGATGGCGCGCCCGAGGCCCCCGCTGCCGCTCCCGAGGTCGAGGAGCCCCGCGACGAACCTGAAGGCGAAGAACCTGGGGCCCTGGACGCTCCCTCCCCCCTAGCCTCCTTGGGAGGGCCCGCGGCAACATTGGCAGGTGCCGCAGGTGGGGAAGGGTCCAGTCTGCCCGAAAAGGACGCCGACGAGCACCGCGACGTCGTAGCTTGCCCCCCTGCGCTCTCAGCGCAAAATCTAGCACCAGCCACAGACGACCCTGGCGGCGCCGCTGCATCGGCCCCCGCGGCCTCACACGCCACTGGCGGAGGCGCGGCGGAGGCCGCACCGTCTCACGCGCCAGCGCCGCTCCCTGCGCCGCGCCCGCCGCCCTTGGCGCCGACCACCTGCGCTGCCTGCGCGGCCTGGGCAGCAGTCGCCGCCGCCGCCTGCGCCGCCGCCGCCTTGGTGGTGCGGATCCGCTCGACCTCCGCGTCGATCCGCTGCTGCACCGTCTCTGGCGACTCGCCATCAGCCGCCGCGGGCGAAGCACCTGGCGGGGCCTCGGCAGGGGCCTCGGCCGACGGCGGCGGCGCCGCAGCCTGCGCGTTGCCGTCCGAGCCCTTGCGCTTCTTCTTCATCCTCTCGGAGAGCTGATGCTTGAGCGCCTCCATGCGCGAGTGCCACTCGCGCACCTTGTCGCCCTTCTCCCCGAGCACACCTTTAGCTGCGATAAGGTCCTTCTCTAACTGCAGCAACTCCTGCTTCTCGGTATCCTCACATTCGAGGGTGCCGTCCTTGAGCGAAGTGAAGAAACTCTCGTCCCAGACTACATCGAAGCATAACTCACTCTTGCCTGGGCCCGTCTTCTCAGGCGACTGCGGCTTGCCTGGCTCGTCCATGCCTGCCTCCGCCCGCCGCCAAAGCCCTGACCGCCGTCCTCTTGGCGACCTCGGCCTGCGCCAAGATCCTGACTGTCTCCTCCTCGCGCTGCTGCGCCTGCGCCAACTGGTCAGCAGCCCTCGCAACGGCTTTCACCGCCGCGTCGTGCTTCGCGTTGGCGTCGCGCCACGCAGCCTCCGCCCTCCTGTGGGCCTCCCCCGCCGAGATGGTTGGCTTGGCCGTGGGCGGGGCCTGCTGCGCCAGCGCGGCCTGGAGGGCCAGCTTGAGCGCGGGGTCCTTCGCCACCTGGATCGCCTGCTGCAAGATCGCCGCGGAATCCTGCGAGGACACTCCCGTAGCTGGTGACGGCGGCAGCCCAAGCCACAGCTCGGTCTGCTCCTTCCCCTTGCCCTTGCCAGCCTTCTTCTTGTTGGGGTTGTGGAGCTCGAGGGTAACTCCACACCTGCATCTACAATTACGCTGCATCAAAATCGAATTCCACTCGCAAGTCGAGCACGACGGGCAGCGTGTATATGCTCCTGCTCCCTTGGCCATCGTCGGCACTGCACTCCCGTGATGGCTCTCCAAGCGGGCGATGTCCACTTCGCGCCTCAAACGCTGCCGGGACTCTGCCCTGCGCCGCCGCTCACGGCGATGCCACGCGGGCGAGCGAGATCGCGGCTGCTCGCTCGTCCCACTGATGCGCCCCTCAGACGGGGCTGGGGTCGTGGTCGATCGGGCAACTTCCCAAAATGGGTGCCTCGGACCACAACGCCTAGGAGGAGGAGGAGGAGGAGGAGGAGGAGGAGGAGGAGGAGGGAGGAGGGAGAGGAGGAGGAGGAGGAGGAGGAGGAGAGGGAGGAGAGGAGGAGGAGGAGGAGGAGGGGGGAGAGGGAGGAGGAGGAGGAGGAGGAGGAGGAGGAGGAGAAGGAGAAGGAGTCGCCCCCTCGGGCCGGTCCCCGCCGATCGTTCCCCTTCATCCCTGTCTCAAGGGTCGGCATCTTCACGCCCAAATCGGGGGAAGATCACCCCGACCTGATGGTGCTGGCCCCGTGGCGGAGCAGCTCTTCCCTCCTCCTTCGCATCACTCTTCCTCCGCGAGCCCGAGGCCCCTGGCGCTGCACTCCCATGCCGTCCCTTCCCCTTACCTCCCCAATTACCCACCTCGCCACATCACTTCCCGCCACGCCGATCCCTGCCTTCCCCTCCCCTCCACTTCCCTCCTGCATTCCCCATCGCGTTCCCTGCCCTCCACGGTTGGTGAACCAAGCCTCTTCACAGTCCGGTCGACGTCGATTGATCCAGCAGTGGCTTAAGCAGTTGTAGCTCAGGCCCTTGTCGAGCCAGCTGGCATCTTCACGCAGTCCTCCGGCATTGCTGCAACTTGTCAGAGCTCCGTCGGCAAAAAAGGCTCCGAGGGTGAGGAATCGTCTTGCAGAGAAGTGGGAGAGGCCAGCTCCAGAAATGTTCCCTTTGCCCAGGGCCTGGAAAGGATGATGAAGAGGAGGAGGTTCTGATTGTGAATAGAGCTGTGCGTGTCGTCTTCAAGGCGCTGTTGAGCCGTCAGGTGCTCTCAGTGGTCAAGTTGCTCGAGCAGACTGGTAAGTCATTGCATTTGTTTTTGAGCACCGACTTCCCTATGTGCGAGAATGTTGGGTTTGCTATCGTGGGGGCTTACGACTGCCTCGTAGACTACGAGAATAGGCGGGACGCAGATGTCAGGGTCCCTGATAACACAGAAGTGTTCACGGTGAAAATGCAACAGGTTGTGATATGGACAGCCATCCCGAAGTTTAGAACAGTGGACGTTGATGATTCCAGGCGCACCCTCGGAGATTTGGGCTTCGACCCTTGCCGCAACGCCTTGCAGATTTACGTTGAACGGCTCAGGCCGACGGCGGTCGTGGAGGATGCGGGCTATTCGCCAATGCCTTCTCGCACAGCCGCACCTCGTGATGGGAAGCGGGGTCAGGACGTCCAGCCTGCTTCAGTTTCAGAGCACGGCAAGGCTGTGGAGAATCAGTTGGGCGTTCGCACAGAGGGTGGCGACGTGGCGACATTGCTCAGGGCTCACAGCGACACCCCATACGTCGCACCAAATGGGCCTCTGCCCTCCAGCACACCAAACGTGTTCAAGATCGAAGACGCCTACGGCGAATCATCGCGACCCCCTGCTTGTCGGAAATTGCCATACGGCCAAACGTTGGGCCGAAGTCTGGCCAAACTCTCGGACTATGTGATCCCCCAGCCGATATGGAAACCGTTGAACAGTTTGGAAAAAGAAGAGTTAGGGCAAAGACAGGGAGGAGAAGGACGACGAGGAGGAGGAAGAAGAGGAGGCCTCTGGAGGCCCTCTTGGGGCCTTCTGTGGGCCCCCTGGGAGCCTCTTGGGGGGCCTCGCGGAGACCTTCGGGGGGTATCTTGGGGAGGCTCCTGGGGGGCCTCCTCAGGCCTCTTGGGAGCCTCCGAGGGAGCCCTTGGACTTCGGAGGCCGCCTCGGGCGCTCTCTCTCTGGGCAGTCGTGGGTCTCGTTGGGGGCGCGTGAGGGCAGCCTTGGAGGTCTGTGGGACCGTCTTGGGGGGCCTCTCGGGGCGGTAGTTGCGGCCTGTGGGGTTGCCCTGAAGGGTCCGGAGCCCGAAAAGGCGAGGCCGCTAAAACAGCAGCAACAACAACAACACCAACAACAACCACAACCACAACCACAACCACAACAACAACAACAACACCAACCACAACAGCAACAACAACCACAACAATAACAACAACAACAACAACAACAACAACAACAACAACAACAACAACAACAACAACAATCATTTTACCCGAACGCTCAGTGTTCTCACCAGTGCCAGGGTTTTCATGCGACGCGAGACAATACCCCCACTTCGTGGGGGGGCAGTTCAAGCTCTACCAAATATCCAAACGACTCTTCGCGACCACCCAAACCCAGCTTCCCGCCCTATGACGTTGGGACACTTCACTTCGTGGCGTGCGGACGACCGTGGCTACTACACTGGCGTGGGGTACACACCCACAGAACTTGGTCACTTATTCGGGGCGCGCGTGTGCCCAGCATCCTGCAATTGTGACATACAATACATGACACAGACAGACAGAGAGAGAGACAGAGAGCAGACAGAGAGAGAGACAGAGAGAGCGGAGTTGGTCACATTTTTGGGGCAAGTTCCTGAGATCGTCGTGTTTTTTGTTGGTCTTGCGCGCGCGAATGTCCACTTTACTTTTTTTTGCAAGGGAGTATTGAAATTTGATTATGTTAGAACAAGAAAAAGTAGCTCGCGCGAGCTCATGTAACATAAATGTTGAAAAACCATTGGTTTTGTGGGAGTCGGACAGCGCGCGCGGGATGAAATTTGGACATTTTTTTTTGAAAAACCATTGGGTTTTTGATGTTTTTATGTTGAAATCGTTACGAAACCTAAGGTTCTGGAAGGATTTCGTCTTGCGCGCGCGAATGTCCACTTTACCTTATTTTTTGCAAGGGATTATTGAAATTTGATTATGTTAGAACAAGAAAAAGTAGCTCGCGCGAGCTCATGTAACATAAATGTTGAAAAACCATTGGTTTTGTGGGATTCGGACAGCGCGCGCGGAAGGACATTTTGACAATTTTTTCTTAAAAAACCATTGGGTTTTTGATGTTTTTATGTTAAAATCGTTACGAAACCTAAGGTTTTGGAAGGATTTCGTCTTGCGCGCACGAATGTCCACTTTACCTTATTTTTTGCAAGGGATTCTTGCAATTTGATCAAGTAAGAACAAGAATTTTCATTTTCTAGTGTTTTTTGCAAGGGAAAACGGATTACAACAAAACAACCGGATCCGGTAATCCACTTTTCTGAAGCTTTCGCGAAAAATGATGAAAATGTAGCTGCGGCCTAGGCGCGGCGGGGGTCGCGCACCAGGGGTCCCAACAATAATTATTCTTTAGAATAATAATGTTCAACAACAACAACAACAACAATTACTAGCACGTGGGGACACTCCGTTCTCACCAGTGCCAGGGTTTTCATAGGAGGCGGGCAATACCCCCACTTTGTGGGGGGGCCGGTTCAAGCTCTACCAAATTTCCAAACGACTCTTCGCCACCACCCACACCCAGCTTCCCGCCCTATGACGTTCGGACACTTCACTTCGTGGCATGCGGACGACCGTGGCTACTATTCAGGGCCCCGCGGCCGACGACGACGGCGTGCGCGCGCGAAGAAAAAACGAATGTGTCCCGCATGGTATTATTTGACAGGGATGATGGCCCTGGCAGGTGCGCAACCGTTGTTGCAGAAGTTCGAAAAAGTTGCTCGCAAAAGCCCGTTTGACAGAAATGTTTAAAAAGTGTTGGGTTTCCTACGAATCCGCAAGAGCGCGCGGGATGAGATTTTGACATTTTTTTGTTGAAAAACCATTGGTTTTTTTGATGTTTTTATGTTAAAATCGCTCCGAACACTAAGCTTTTGGAAGGATTTCGTCTTGCGCGCGCGAATGTCCACTTTACCTTATTTTTTGCAAGGGATTCTTGAAATTTGATTATATTAGAACAAGAAATGTCATTTTATAGTGTTTTTTGCAAGGGAAAACGGATTACAACAAAACAACCGGATCTTGATGACATCGTATTACCTGAGGCTTCCTCACGAAAATGATGAAAATGTAGCTGCGGCCTAGGCGGCGCAGGGGGGCCGTGCACCAGGGGTCCCAACAATAATTATTCTTTAGAATTAATAATGTTCAACAACAACAACAACAAAAACAACAAAAGCAACAACAACAACAACAACAACAACAACCACAACCACAATCACAATCACAATCACAACCACAACAACACCAACCACAACAACAACACCACAAACAACAACACCAACCACAACAACAATAACAACAATCAGTTTACCCTCATGCGCGATGTGTCCACACGAAGCATGCGACCATCATGATAACCATCCACGTAATGGGGGACTCGTGTTCTACAGCGGGGTCCGTTATTCCCATTCCCAGATCTCTCGCCCAATGAGGTCTTGCAAACACCTCCTCCGAGGAATTTCAACATATCCCGCCTCGAAAACACAAGCCCGCGCCTTGCTGCGCCGATGCGAGACCGCCAGCCGAACCCCAGCGAAGGGTAAAGCACAAGGAAGTATCGAACGACACGATTGCCTTGGTGGGGATGGGGGCTGTCGGCGGTGAGGCAAGGACCTGGCCCTGAATAGAAAGGGAGGAAGTCTCGAGCAGGGCTGCTGTTGTTGTTGGGCGCGGCGCCACTGCTGAAGAGAGTAGGGCGCTAGTCCAGCGTAAAACAAAACGAAGTCTCGAGCGGGAACGCTGGTTTTGTTGGGACGGCGGCTTTCGGCGGCGAGGAGGAACACCGCCTTGAATAAGAAAGGAGGCAGCATCGAGCGGGAGCCGTGGTTTTGTCGGGACGGGGGCTGTCGGCGGCGAGGAACAGCACCGTCCTGAGGAAAAAGAGAGGAAATCTCGAGCGGGAGCGTTGTTCTTGCTGGGAGCGGCGCCAGTCCAGCGAAGAACGGAAGGAAGTCTCGGGCGGGAGCGCTGGTTCTGTCGGGGCGGCGGTTTTCGGCGGCGAGGAGGAACACCTCCTTGAGTAAGAAGGGAGGCGGCATCGAACGGGAACCGTGGTTTTGTCGGAGCGGGGGTTGTCGGCGGCGAGGAACAGCACCGCTTTCAGGAAAAAGGGAGGAAGCCTCGAGCGGGAGCGTCGTTCTTGCTGGGAGCGGCACCAATTCGTTCGGACGGCGGCTTTCCGCGGCGAGCAAGAACACCAGCCCTGAGTAAAACAGGAGGAAGTCTCGAGCGGGAGCGTTGTTGCTGTTGTTGGGGGGCCGGTTTTGGCGGTCCCCCAAACCGCCCGAGCGTGAGCCTCATTTTCAATGAAAATGTAGCCGGCGCTTCGGCGAGAGCGCCAAAGCGCTTTTAAGGTGTCCAACAATAATAATTGTTGAGTAATTAACATTCAACGACAGCAACAACAACAACAATCATTTTAAGACCGTTCGCCCTTATATGCTCTAGTGTCCAATAACGCGTATTTCCCAAACCCTCGATACCCGCCCTCTTCGTCTTCGATCGAACCCCTTTTGGGGGGTATACCCTTCTTCCCTGCAGGCCGGGCCCCGGCAAGCGGCGGGGCGGCCGCGGACCGTCGGCCTGGCCAGCGGCAGCGCTGATCGGCGGGGCGGCCGCGGACCGTCGACCCGACCCCAAGAGGGACGGACAGGGGACCGACCACGACGACGACGACGACGACGTCGAAGACGACGGCGACGACGGCGACGACGAGCGA